AGTCAATCCGACCACTTGGCACCGAATGACATTTGTAAATAATTAAAGTCTTTGTAAAACTGTATTTCTGCATGTTTTCCTTCAGACGGTTTCAAAGCTATTTTCTAATAAGGCTATTTTCTAAAGACTCGTTACAATTTTTTGAAATCTTCGACAGAATTTAAAAATTACACGATCGATCCACGAAACGAGTTGGCTTCAAATGATATTTGTGAATAATTAAAGAAAACTTGTAAATAATTAAATTGTTTAAAACTAGTATAAAGTTGTTTTCTAAAAAGGACTTGTGAGCAAAGCAAGTAGATCTTACTAGAATAGTTGGTTTATTATTATTGATGGATATTACTTTTCTACTATTCTTAATGTGAATTGATAAAATGCAATTTTAACCGTTCAACAACAGGTGCATTGGAGAAGGCAGCCACCTGACTTCGAAGGAACACCTTGCGCCTTTCTTCCGCCTACTTCGAGCAGATCGAGAGACGCGATATATGAGCCTCTGTACTCTCTCACGCATAAAATGTTGCTTTTAATACGTTAGGATATCCGCTACACTTTCGCCGACTAATTTTCCCAAAATAAGTCAGTCTGATCGATTGCAGATCCATAACTTTCTCTCAGTTTAAGATACTTTCCAAATATCATAATATAAATATTATAATATAAATCATTACAATAAATTTAAATATATTAAATAAAATAATTAAATAATTAAATATATTAAAGAAAATATATTAAAAATTTCTTATTTATATCCTCGACTGCCTTTTTCTATGCATTCCATTGTAATTACAATAACTTTATATCATGTCAAGAGATCTCAGTCTAAATCTTGGATTCATATAATCAATGAAATTTTGACAATTGGCTTTATATATTTTCCGAGAACACGCGCGATCGTAGTTAAATTTTTAACATCGTTTGTCTCACATAAAAGACTTTTGTTCACTGTATTTCTCGAAAGGCGAACGTTATCGTTTGATCATAGAGATTTGGCGACAAGTAACAAATAAAATAAGAACAAGAGGTGATTCTTTTCTACAGCAGCTGTTGGCAGCTGCTTCGTGCGGCACGCGCCGACGGTCACCAAGCATCACGTGAATCGTTAGCACCGGGCCTTAATTTGAAACCCTTCACTTTACCTCTGCGCGCACACCATCGTCGTCGCATGTTCGCCACCATACATCGTGGCTTGCCATCGAGCTTCTCACGACATAGATTATTGAGAAAATAATATTAGTCTTTCCTAGAAACAATTTTGTACTATCAACTCTTGTACAATGAACGAATGTGTGTAATAATATCTAATTTGTGGGAAGAATCAGAAGTCGAGATTTTATTGTCAAGAATGCTTTCTTAAAATTATATTTTCTTTTATATATTTCTTTTATATATTTTCGCGAAATTGCAAATTCGTAGATTGATGTAAATTGATATATAAGCGTATTGATATATAATACGGTATTAAGAGAATAATTTTTAATTTCATTTTAAAGATGTTGTATATCCTTATGCTCTCATTTACGTCACTTGGATTAATGTTTTGTATAAAAACTAATTTTATGAAAAATTTTGATTTTCATTGTACGTTGTTGATGATACAAAATTGTTCTTAAGAGAAACAACATTTATTTTTTTGTAATTTACAATTGAATGCTCATAATTTTTTATCATAGAGGTAATTCATGTTATCTCATCAATTTAAGGTTGCGGTTATTAAATTAGTAAAGAATTACGACTCTTCAAAGTAGGTAACTACTTTATCAAGCGAGCACATTCATAGTATAATAAATAGACAATAATAAACCGTGGAATATTCAATAAGTTTTAATAAATTCCTCAACGAATTAACTTTCAGAAAAGAGGGAATACAAGAGTGAAAACAAATATAAATGAAATTTTGTTCTTCAGTTAATTTCGAAGTTTGGTGTAATAGAATTTTAATGGAAGATTGTATTGAAGGTGATGCCGAAGTGAGTTAAGAACTGAAGAACTACGGTTGAGGTTTATAATTCCAGCGGAGAACGAGAATACTTCGTAAGAGCATCAACAAGCAAGAAACATCGATCTTTCTTCTCAGAATTGCTCCAAGTGGGAGAGACGTTGCATTCTTCGATGGAAATACTCTCGAGGATTTTGCAACAGTCAAGAAGACACGAAGACGGTTTTGCCTGGGCAAGCTTATCGATTGGAAAAAAGTTCATTTAGAAACCGCAGAACATTCTTGTACTCGATACTACGAGTCGACGAATCGTCACTCGAAGCTTCGACGCTGCGCTCGAACGAGAGCTGGCCAGAGAGAAAGGAAACATTGGAATCACTCTTTGGTGATTTCCGATATTTCTTTTCGCCAGTTCCTTGCCATTGCAAGAGCACGTTGCAAACCGATTATGCGCCATGGAAAGGAAACGCAGGCCTTACAAGCCCGAGAAACTCGTGATATGCCAATAAATGTCGGTACTAGACCACTCTGCGGAACTGGACTCTTAGAAGAAATGTGTTGAACAGCTCGATATCTTCTTGTGAAGATATATTTTTTAAATATAACTTTCACAGAGATATAAGGTCTGTTTGCGTTGCTTGCACTTTTTTCATTCAGCATCTTCGCTTTCTTTCTTTTCAAAATTCAAATATACATCTATTTCATTTTAAATTTTTTGGGAATTTCAAGCAATGTGAATAGATCTATAGACTCGACGGGGCAAAAAGCCAGGCGGGGTCTGTTAACGATCCGTAACAACGATGACGGAAGTAAAGTTACGCTCATAGTGCGAGTATGAATAGAAACTTCCGGTATGACGAACAGAACGGAAACGGTAATTGCTGGTCCCTTTGTATCCCGCTTCTGCTTCTATTTTCTTTCTTTTTTTCTAGTCGATACATCGATATCGATAAATTTCAAACGAATAGACGGCGCGATGGATGCACATACCGCGTGACGTAAAACTTTGATAACGTTTATCCGATCGGTCAGATTTCATTGTAATAAAAGCTCTTTGCCGCTTCATTTAAATATTTTCTTTTTTTTACGAAATCAACGATTTTAAAGAATTTAGCTGTAACTGAAAAGTACAATAAATAAAATAACTAAAAGCAAGTAATTAAAAAGTATAAGTAATTGAAGGCAATTAATTGAAAAATCAAAGCTTCAATGTCCAAAAACAACTTTGAAAATGGTTTCCATTGAATTTATTCATTTCGTGATTGGTAGTAATTATTTTTTACTCTGTTACGTCTTTGCGACCACGAAGATAATTAACAATGAAAAAAGAAGGAAAGAATTTTGAATATAATACATGCGTGCACGAGCGCTTTGAGGGTAGCTGAAAAGACTCGCGCATATGAATAGGGTGACGAATTATTCCTACCCGATTCACCTGAAGGAACGTGGCCTACTTCCATTTGTCACCGGAAGAGGCGGATACCTCGCGCACGAGAAAAAAAAATTGCAGTAATTTTGAAGCCAAATGGAGACACGTTCCAAACGTTGTTACAGAATAAGACGTTTCGTGCTCGTCGTCGATGCACGTACTTTACTATACAGATTGAATCTCTACGATCTTTCAGTCTGCCAATACTGATTGAAAATATATTTATTTCAAAATCGTTAAACTTATATAAATATTTCCTACATTTAAAAATGAGTAAAAAAAATTAAGTGTGAACAGGAAATATTAATTAATTGAATGGAAGAGATTATCGAATAATTAGTATAAATATAATATAAATATAATAAATATAATAAATAATATAATAAAATATAATAAATACATAATAAATAAATATAATATAATTAATGTGAGAAATGTGTACTTTCTAATTTTCTTTGTCTCAATTATATCATTAATATTTAAAGATATTCGATATTCCTTTTCATAGAGCCGTCGAGACTCACGAATACTATCTTATAATATTCTGAATTCTGTATATTTATAATCTTTTGATATTTCCAATATTTCCTTACATTATTTCCGCTTTCGAGCGAACCGCAAAGTCCCGATACTTTTAGAGGAGGGCACCGCCAAAATTGCAACAGGCAGAGTACCTGCGGAGTTACGGCAGACTGGGTTCTCCCTGTCTCTCTTTGTGTGTGTGTGTGTGTGTGTGTGTGTGTGTGTATGTGTGTGTGTATGTGTGTGTGTATGTGTTAGACTTCCGAGCATACCAGCCGGCTCTACTTCCCGGAGGAAGACGCTGGGTTACCCCGAGGGTGAACCCACAGTCGCAGCTGCTCGAGAACCACGATAATTATCTTCGGTCGCTATGCACCCTATTGTTCCGTGAACACTCCGCCCTCCGCATATTCTATAAATCGGAGGAAGCTACCATGCACCTGGACACGAGGGAGGAAAGGAGATAAAAGCATATTCTTGTATCTGTTTTAACATCGCGAATAATTTGCATTAAACATTGTTAATTATAAAACGCTCACTTCGCATTTAAAATAAAACTTGATATTTTATTGAGAATATTTTTCTGAAAAACTTGAAACGTTGCAAAAAAATAAAATGTTACGTAAAAAGCAAAGATTAATTATAGAATACTGTCGCTATCGAGCGATGCAATATTGTTAGATCGATGTCGATATGTAAATTTCACGTTCAAGAAGCTAAATGTCCAAATTGATAATGGATCAAATTTTTGAAAGCTTGTCTTTGCTTTAATATATGGCAAATTGGATCCTCTAATGACACTGAAAGCTTAGCGGTGAATGTACATAAAATTTGCAATATCCTTCTAAGATAATAAAAAATCATGACAGCGTAGATTAATTTACATAACAATATTTGCATCAAGTATTCTTTCTAACATATATGTTAGAAAGTATTCTTTCTAACAAATATGTTTCTGCGATGCAAAGTTAGTAGTAAGAGATAATTAATAAAAAAAAGTAGGTATAAAAATAGATAGATCAAGAATGGAAAATCATGATAGTGATAAATATGCGCAATTAATATGACTTTGATATAGCGTTACACTCATTAGTTTTATGTTCGCCAGCGAATGAATATCTTTTGCGTTTGTTCAGAGACATAAGAATAACCACGACAACAGCATCACTATAAGGAAACGCACTCCTCAAGTTCTCTTACAATGCTAATGAGATTCGGTTCCTTTTGATTTCGGTACCTCATCAGTCACACGCACAAGATATCTCTCAGCCGATTTTACGTGCTTGAAGAGTTTCAAGGCGCCATTCACCAAACGGATTCTTCCTTGCTGATAACTTACAATACAAGTATGTAAAACTTCAACGAGTTCATGCCCTTCCTGTGCAATGCCGTGCTAACAATTGGACATTCACATCCCTTTTCCTTTCTTCAGACCTTTTTTTCCCTGACTTCTCTTTACATTTCGTTTCGCGACTCGACCTGTGTCAAATATGTCATATTTTTCTTCGAAGCTACGTGAGCACGTTATGAAGTACCATTTTATAAATAATTGCCTTGTCATCATGTGTCACATCGCTATATCCGTACCGAGATTGTAATTTATTGATATAGTGCGCGAATAGTGAGGTAATGCATATGGTATATTACATCAGCACAGAGAGTAATAACAACTTTTCCTTAGGTACATCTGCGACATAGTTCTATATGTAAATCTCTCTCTCTAATTCATTATATTTGGCTGTTTCGTATTATTTGCGAACGTCATTTGTCTATCATTCCTTGAATTTATACATATATTGTCTCCCTTTATATTTTTTTTTGTAACTAATTTTCTTTAATTTTTCTAAATTTTTGTTCTGTATTTGCTATAATTTATTTGTTCTTAGAGACCTTAGAACGATAATAAATACCTTATCTCTCTTTATCAATCTTTTTTTTCTTATCAGTCTTTCTTTCTCTTCATTTGAAGCATATTATTATAAATGTTCCCTGTGCCTATGTGAAGTCGTAGGAACGCAAAGGAATCAAGGGTAAAGCATTGCGAAAATCGCGAGCGGAACCGCCGCCTCCGGATTCCCATGCCATGTTAATGAGTCTCATAAAATATGGCATACCCCAGTGAACCGAATAACTCGCTGATACACGCGCGTAACGTGTGAACGTGGCGTATTCAAGTATCGTGCAAGTCATAACATCATATATTTTGTTTTCAATTTTTTATTCTTATTAGTATACACGCAAAAACTTTACGATCTTTACGTAAAAACTTTAACCGATAATCAATAATAAAAATGACATCCATCAAGAGAATGCAAGAAATAATAGATTCTAATTTTTACGAAGTATAATTAAGTTTAATTTTAGAATAAGTTGATTGAAAATCTTCTTGTTTTTTATGATGAAATCTATTAACTATAATAAACAGAAGAAATATTTTTTTTATGTACGATATCTTCTATGGATTATATTTTTAATTTTACTTAGATAAATATCGCGTAAGTGTTCGAGCAATTTGATATTTCCAGCTTGACCTTAGCAAAAAAAGATCTCTCATTCTTTACTACTTGCATTCTATTGTTATGAAATTGCAAATTTTTCACGTCGTGAAAACTAATTTTATTCGGTGATATTTTTTAACCAAGCGAATCACATATTATAATACTCATGAAATTAATACTCATCGAAATTCTGTGCTTTCGAACGACAATTACTATCTTGGTCGTTCTTCCTCGCCCTGCATTCGCGCTTTATGGATCCAGCCAATAATTAGTCCAATGTCTCTCGTTTAACAGGAGCTCGAATAGCGCTTGAAATTACGCTACACCCGAGATCGTAACACGAGAATTTCAGAGAATTTTAAAGATAATAGGAAAATATCTGCAATTATTCCCTCTTTATTAGCGATGTATCTCATTCAATTTACGTAAAAATGATTCAAGATTATTTAAAAAAAAAACTCATCATTCTTGCAAATTATGCAATTAAATTTTTCCTCATGCGATTTACTATATTAATAAGAAATACAGAGATATCGAACACAGTTTTTTCTCAAATGAATAATAATTTATTCCTATATTCAGATAAACTTAATCATTTTAACATTTTCTTGTTGCGTTAATAATACATTTTTTAATGATCTTTATCAGATTACTTCTATAAAATTATTCGTGTCTGAATTTTGTGATTGAATACATTTTTTCTCTGATTAATTGACATCCGATCATTAACTTTAATTCTGTTGCTTATCTTATAAGAGAATTAATGTAAATATAACATATAGATATTTATTTACAACTTATATAATTAGCTAATTATCTCGGCTTTAAGAATAAGATTAATTTGCAAAAGTTCCATAATTGATAATTGCAATAATTTTCATAATAATGGAAATCAATCTAATATTTTTGCAAATGTATTCTATAAAATATGTTCAATCTTCGAAAAGAACACATACCTTAGTAAATACAGTCAACGCGTAGACGATGACAATAGTCAGCATCACGCATCGATTGCGGATTAGTTTTCGGCGATTATCCATTGTCTTTTGAATTCTATTCTTCGTGCTTGCCACTTCAATCAAAATCACTTTTTTTTTTTCGAAAATTACGGTGTATTCATAACTTTATCTGCATCAGGATATATTCAAATAAGAACAATAATCTCACGCTTTGATCTCGATTTAAAGAGGGAAAACAGAATAATTTACGATTGAATTAACACAAACGCGGATAAAATGGATTTTTATGGCACTCAGAATTTAGGATAAAATATTTCTACATGAGCCAAGAATAAAATTCGTTCAACTGATCGTTGTAATGTTACCTCGGTGGAGGTTCAACGTGAATTGAAAGGAGTGCATCGGTGCAGCTGTTACTGTTGAACACGCGCCCGGTCACGTGGCCCTTCATGTCCCTCTCCGCCTTTAGGACCCGAATCAAGTCATCCAATATTCGAATTTTTGTAGAGAGACCGTATATGTGGATAGACTGCTAGATATATTGATACACTATTGCGGCACTCAAACTCTATTACATTTGCAAGAATTCTTTTATAAGACATTTAGCAAATTTAATTTGTGATAACTGAAAATAAAACGATAGTCTTTGCTGATCGTGCGATCAAATTCTATGATTAAATGCATTTTCTCAGATTAATTGATATTCGATTATTAACTTAACTTTGTTTATTATAAAAGAATTAATGTAGCTTGTAAGTATATATATATTTATTTACACAACAAACTATAATTATATTGGTTAACTTATTAGCATAAGATTTGTAAATTTGTATCTTGCAAATGTAAAAAAAATGTGAGGGAAAAATGTGAAGGAAAATTGTGAAGCTTTTAAACGTTTTAAAAGAAAACTATTAATAGTTGTAAAGTTATTAAATACTGACAATATTCGTTTAATTAAGTGTACGAAGTTAATATGTAAATTCTTATTGAAATAAATAAAAATCTCTCGAAAGATCGATTGCTAATTAGTACTCATATCAGTTATCTTGCATTCGTTTTATCAACAGCTGAACGTTTCGTAATGTGTTGTTCGAATTTGATATTCATTATTGCACATTAAAATAAATTTGCTATTCATTATTGCACATTAAAAAATAAATAATCTGTGAAGTGTGCATTCTTTTACAATTGGACAGCAAATATTTACGACATAATTAGTACTGAATCGAGAAAATTTGTTATTCACAAATAATAACAAATAATTAAAACATAATTTTCTAAAACAAATTATATACTACTGTTTATAAATTTAGGAACACTTGAAATTTTTTTCGCATTTTACGAAATTAAAATCTCAGGAAAAAAATTCGCAAATTGAATTTATGAAAGTAGTACATGTGCAAAAAAAGTGCAATAATATCGATAATTCTTGACTTTACACGAATAGATAAAACTATATTATTTCGAGTTTTTAAATGCAATTTTTTATTCGTGTCAAATTGCACAATATGCAATAATATTTTCTTCAACGTGGAAATATTGGAAAATAATATGTTCTTTTCTCCTCAGAATTTTTGTTCGAAGCATTTTTCGCAATAAATGATCGAGAAATAGAGAAACATCTAATTTAAAACTTGATTCCATCATATTTTGAACGAATATATCCCATAAATAACAATCGCCTGTGTCCACTACATGGGTATCATTATATCCTATTGTATCAATTACTTATTATATGTGCTATTTTCTCGTTACTCGATATTATCGATGTAAAAGATGAAAGCAATCCATCAAGTCATAAAGTTTTTTTTTAGGTAGAAAAATCTAAATAAAATCAAATTTAAAGTTAAAAAAATATCAAGAATAGCTATTGCTAGAAAAACAAAAATCATTTTTTAGAAAATTTAATGTCTTTTTCCTTCTCTTTTGGCTCTCGCCTATTCGATAAAGACGTTATGATAACCGATGAAATATTTTGTCAAGAACTACAAAAAAGATAAACATATGAGATCAAGGTACAAGAATGCGAAATATACTCAGACATTTTATCAGAAATTAAAAAAAAAATTAATAAAAATTAATAAAAATTAATAAATGCCCCCATCAAAGCAAAACGAAACGTTCACTTCGACAATCTTGACAGAATATGCATAAAAAAGTATTTACAAATACAGAAAATGTAACATACATGATGTAGAGACCAGGAGACCAGGACTCTAGAGATGTGTACTGTATCTCAAAATTATAGATATTTTCTCAGAAAAGGAAATGAATACACATTAATGAAATATTAGCGCTCATAATTATTATATACAATTTTTTTTTAATTTGTAGAATATTCTTTTATTTTCAGTATTGCTTTTCTCGGTAGACGTAAGCCCGGTATCACAAATGTGAAAGATTATTAACTTTAATCTCGGTTTAACTTACTATCTTAATTTCTTCTAATTATAAAAATAAGAGCTAGAATAAAAATTAATTGAATTGAGATTAAAAGTAAACTGCATTATTAGGTAAAAAGATAAATAGTTTAAGTTAAACTGAGATTAAAGTTAATCTTAAACTTTGTGGATCGGATCGTAATAAATTTTGTATTTTCTGATCTTATTGTTATAATAACTCTGTTTTATTAGAAAGAGAACGCAATATATTCAGTATATTGAGATCGCATCTCTCATCATTCATCTCTTTAATAGGCTATTTAAATTTTACATGTAATTCGCCAGTTGCACTAATGTTATTTTAATTTTAAGCGAGGCTTAAAATTCTCTTTGCCTCTCTGTTTGGTTTTAAAACGAGGTAGAGAGAGTTTTAAGTTTCGCTTAAAATCAAAGTAACGTTGGTACAACCGGGCCTAAGAATTACAAATACAAGTTGCTCGGAAAATAATTAATAGAAAATCGTTAGAAAATATGATAGTCAGATACAGTCACATAACATTTCTTCCTTATATATTTACAATATACATTATGTTTTGAGTATTGAAATAGATTTATGAATCGTTTATATTCTCCACACATAAAATAAATATGCATAAATGTATATAGTGATAACAAATCACCATTTAATTCGTTTTTTATTTTGTTATTTTATTATAATAATGTTATTTTATATTATAGGCTAGTTTGTTTGAAGCAATTACTATCACCAACAAAATAAATTATAAAGTAGGAAAAACAGAAAACGGAAGTGAATAGCAATTAGCATTTGATAGATAGAGTAGAAACAAATGGAAATGATGAATGATGACAAATCGGATCGCATAAAACAAGATCATATTCAGAATATCATGAAAGAAATCATACCAAGTATAAAAAATCAAAGCAATGGCATCAATGGATGCACAAAAAATGCAGACGAAAACGAACACTACGAACTTGCAGAGGCAAAAAATAGCGTTAAATACATCAAACATTTTGTAACAAAAATGAAGCCTATAATCGATCAGAATGCTGCGAAACCGAAAGATTATGATAAATGGACGGAGGAAGAACAAATCAAACATATTATAGATAACATAAAAACATATATGCCAAGTATACCGCAATCCTTATTATTTTTTATATCAGGCACATTATATCGAGGAGATTGTGGTCGAAATTCGATGGACAAACCACTCTGGCTGGACATGGAAAAATTCCAGAGAGGTCAAAAATTCGTGCTAGATTATTTTGTGTCAATTTCTTTTGCTAATATAATATCGCTTTTCCAGATATTCGCTTTTACAGGTGCTCTTAAACCGCTCATCTTCAGTCAAAAATCTCACACGCCGTATTTAGCGTTTAAAAGGTAAATTGATGAAGATTTTGTAAATCAGTAGTTATAGTCTGTTCTTATACTTTAAGAATGTCTTAAGATGCTAATGCGACTCTGCGATTGACTTAAGGCAGTCTTAAATAAAAACTGACTATGAAATCGAATCGGGGCTTGTATTTATAGCATTTCTGCTAAAGAATTGAAATTAATGAAACTATAGTCAGAAGTGGAATAGGTGAAAAATTCATAATCACGATTTAAGTGAACAATTCTTACTCTTGAGAAAAAAACATTATGATTTAACTTTGAAATTTACAACAATTAACAACTAAGTCTTGAAGCAAAAAAAATAAGAAAAAACATAGGCATATCTTTGTAAGTATTTATTTGATTCTAAATCAGATGTTATTGTTTTATTTCCATTACAATACAAATAATTAAAAAATGTAACGTATTTATGTCAGTACTATATAAATATTATATCAAGAGAAATGATAAAAATTGGAATATTTTTAAAATATTTGAAAATTATATTATATATTATTAAAATGTTTTTTTTTTAATGTTCAGAAACATCACATTATTAAATAATATTTTCATGGTATTTTTAAATTATATGAAAACATTAAAATTCATATAAAATCAATATTAAAAAATGTTGTTTGTTGCTTACTAAGATATATTATAATATGTGTATACCTAACTAATTATACATTATTTGTGTTATAAAATCAGATTAATTTATAACAGATTAATCTAAAGAGATTGAAATCTAGAAAAAACATGAAACAGACTATTTGCTAAAAGAATTCATTAGATCGAATTAATTAGAAATAGTTGGTTGAATTGACTAGAGCAGTGATTTGATTAGAACTGGGATTTACTTGCACATTTCAGCCGATTTTCAGCTTGGTTCCTGTCCCATACTTCAATTAACGTCGATTCGAATAATTATTTCTAATAGAGATATAATTTATTAGCTTTATTATTAAGTTTCATCGAATTAAGTATTTAAAATTTAAATTATTTGTTTTTAAAATTTAAATAATAAGTTAATTATCTAATAAATTAATTATTAATTCATTAGTTTTTAAACCTACTTACAGAATTCTAATATTAATTAACAATACGAATTTGTAATAATTACTACTGATTAATTTTATTAGGATTAAATATGAAAACATTTTTGAGTATTCGACATCATTTGCATAGCATCATTATTTTTCAACCTTGGTCGACATAAAGAAGTTCAATTCATAATCAAGTCATGTGTTTTATGAAAAATGTTGCACGAATTTGTCAATTGGAATTTGACAAAGTTTGCGTGTGCATCTGTGGCTAATGTTGTACAATTAAATTTTGCGCAATAAAATGTCATGCGTGTATGGAATTTTAATTTATGCAATATTGCGTGATTAATCGTGAAAGAAACTTTTAATGACTGAATCAAGTTTGATTGCTACATCCGGCATTTTTTATACAATTCCTATATAGAGTTTTACAATCGGTCTAATACTGGGCCAGTATTATGACTGCCACTGGCAAACTACTAAATACTGCACTGAAAAAAAGGATTGGCTGCTGCAGCAAATTAGATGATAAAATATGGCATAGTATTTTTAATTGATTGCAGCAGCCAATTAAAAATGCTATGCCATATTTTACCATATAATTTGCTATAGCTAATCTTTTTTTTCAGCATGGATAATAATTTTAGTACTGACAGATGGTATTGGTCCAGACATTTTAGCCAGTCATTTACCAGTGCAGATGGTCCTGTACTGGCTGACAGAACTTTAGCTGTCATTTGATAATCAGTCATTTGTCAGTGATGGCTCAGTATTGGTTGACAGAATCTTGGTTTTGACAGCCGTTTAATAGTGTTGATTTCATTATAATTGTTGACAACCCTACGAGTTGAAAGTTGCACATTTGATAATTAGTTTCCAATTATCATTGAAGGTATTTGTCTACGATTTGTTATATAAAAAGTTGGATGACGGAAGATCCGTGGACTGTGGGCACGCGAGCATATAACGATATACAAACTGTGCGTAGAATGCACCGTGCAATCCGATTGAAACTTTGTGAAAAAGATACTGAGGAGATCGAAATGGCTTCTAAAATTCCAAATCCATGGTGTCCTAATAGAGAAATAATTTCAGAAGATTTATCTTCCTGTCCATATCCGACTATAGAAAATGGTTGTATCAATGTACTGATCAAACTCACAGGGTTGAATCAAGCAGATATGGCAGCCACGCAATTTGCTTTCATAGGGATGATTTTGTTGTATCCTCAAGAATTCGGCATTTATGTTAGCGATGAAGATATGGCAGCCTTTTGTCACACATGGAGAGGTCTAGGATATCTTCTTGGCATAGAGGATCAGTAAGTAATAGTTTCCAAAAAAGTTTTTCATTACTCGAATATTTTCCTCATTTGAAAAATTCTATGTCTCATTGGAATTCTCGTATTTAATGGAAACATATAAATGTCTAGATACAATTTCTGTCGCGGAAGTCTGAAGGAAATTAAACAAAGATCACGCGACTTCATCGAAGTTTGGACGAAGTCCTATTTGAGGCAAGCACTGCCCGAATGGGAACATATGTTGAGATGCGTAATAGAAGGTTCTTCTTATTTTATGGGATTTTTCACATTTAAGATGACACTACTGTTTCTCACTAATTTATTGAACATAGATATGCCACGTATGCGAAGTACGCTCACTTATTATGAACGATTTAAACTCATTATAAGTCAATAGTAAGTAGAACACAAGATAATAATTAAGTATAACGCGCAAAAAAATCCTTGTCAAGTTAGAAAACGAAAAGTTAATTATTAACAAAACAAACTTAACGACCTAGACTATTTCTCATAAATAAACAAAGATCAAATATTTCAATTTCAGCTAATCAATCGATTTAATAAAAAAATTTTTATTACTTGAAAAATCTTTATTATGTATGACAATTTATTTATGTAGAATAAAAATGTAAAATTTATATGTTTGAAGAATTATATGATAGGCTACTATCGCAATGTATTATATCAAGATTCGTTTGTAGGACATAGACTGTAAAAAATTAAAGTGTAATGCGAAATTTTATTGTACTTTTATTACTCATTTAAATTAAATTTTCGCTCACAATAATAATATTTATAATGATTTCTTTCTATGATTTTAGTTTCATGTCCTATATTATAAGGATACGATTTATAAGAGAGTTTCTGACTAAGAAATTTTATGAGAAAATGGATGAAGCAATCAAATATAGGCCTAAAAAGCATATGGAATTTAAAAAGAGATCTCAAAAGACTTTAGCTGAGGGCCTATAATATTTATATACAGACTCGGAGTTTTACTTATATACATTATTAGATATTAGTTAATAAACATCAGCATTAATAGGTATCAGTATTAATATAATAGTAGATATCAATGTAAAATAATATTATAATATAATACAATATAATATAATAGATCATATTGTAATATTAGATCATATTGATAGCTTAAGTTATGGGCTAAGTTATGGAATAATCATAGTAAAAATACGAAAAAATGTGTGTTACTCACGCTTAAACTTTTTCATATAAATCAGAATTTATAACATTTCTATGAAATATGTAAGGCTAAAGTACTTTATATAATAAAAAAAATCCCATTAACACAAATAGAATAAAAATTATTTTACTTTTATTTTTACTACTAAGAAATATTTATATATACGTTTAAAAAAATATATATATTTGTATAAAAAAATTTTTTAAATTATTTTACATTAATTGTTTAATTTAATTACTTAATACAAATAATTAGATTAACAGCAAGAAGAAAATGCGAAATCCATTTATTTCATTATTTCTCTAAATTCATTTTTATTATTTTTATTTCTCTAAATATTTTATAATAACTAATACGATAACTAAATATCGCGCTATTTGGAATACAGTTTCTATAACTTAAGTAAGACAGCAAAATAAAATCAAGCGATGTATTATAAAATAAGTTATAACGTAAGCTTTTCGATATGCTTAAAATTCTGCTGTAATATATTTTGATGGTTCAACAAAATTATTTGCAAATCTATATCGAACTAAAATGTTAGATATTTAAAAAAAATCATTCTTTTCGTATAGCAAAAGATTAAATCGACACATTATAACGTCATAAAATCACCGCAGACAAAGAAGAATTGCAAGACGGACATCGAGGTCCGCACGTCCGACTTACAAACATAAATAAAAAATATTTTGAACAATTAAATACTGGACGGTAAAATCGTAAAATGTTATGACAAACAATACTAGACGAAAATATACCTTACGAATTAATTGTAAATGATCAAGTGTTGAACAATGATATGACAGACGCTAAAAAATTCATAAATCGTTATACTTGTAATACAGAGTACTAAGTAATTCTCTTACAACAGTCGTATACTATAGTTCTTTAGGTAAAGTTATTTCTCACATATCATTGAGTAAAAATGAGTTTTAATGATATACTTAAAAAAAATATCGAAAATTGAGAGTGTACTTTGAATAGCACAATGGAAATATGAGCAAATGAAAATTCAGATTTATATGAATACGTGAATCTGTTGCGGAATACATTCGAGTTTATTTCCAAACCACTTCGACGAATGGACAGTGAGCCGAAGATGTAGTTGGACAAATAAGAATTTTTCCAAATTCTATTCGAACGTACCAGAGTCCTTATTGGATTTCATTCCTTTTACTAAGAAAATTGATCACCGGTCGAGAGAAATCCGAATGATTGTATATAAATAGAGGGCAAAAATTCGTGCAGGATAATTTGGCCGGAATTGTTATGAATTTAATATTATATCGCTTTGGTCCCTCTGATTACACATTTGAAAATAATCTAAATCCAATTATCGTGAGTGATCGCATTCATACGCTATGGATACAAAAAGTATATCACTCTAAAGATGGATACAGACTTGTTGCATATTTGCGTAAATATCAAATGATTACATATCAAAGTAAATATAGGATAACATGTGTGTCTAAAAAACGATGTAAAGACATCATAAAGTCATAAAAAAAAATCTTTATTGTGTGTTATGACGAAAAGCACACCGTATTTATACCATTGGATTGATATGCAATTAATGATACAATATATACATAGATATACAACAACTCTATGGTCAACAACAATTCTGTGTCTGCATCAATAGGTATATCACTTTTCCTCAATGTCATAATTGAATAAAAAAAAGCATCTGATAAACTGTTGCTCATTCTTACTATTGTAATATTCCCCTTATGTGTCCATAATGAAAATAAATAGTCTATCATATAAATTTCATTATTTAATTCTCATCAATTTCGAAAATATTTGCCGACCATGTATCGGGTGCTAAACTGATTTAACGAAGAACTCTGGATCAAAGAAATGCCTGCCTTTAAAGCATGCAAGTTGTACATAAAATGCACATAATAATGAAAACCAAACTATCTCAGTAATAAGCATGAAATCGACAAAGCGCGCAAATTCGCAAATCCATAGTGTCCAGTCGTGAATTGCTTTTAAAAGATTTCGCTGAGGCATGTCCGTTCGAGAAGATCGAGTAATGTTCTTATAAATCATTTATCGATCTGCTATTTTTGAATAGAAATATATAAACAACGTGACAGAGCAGTGTTTCAATGCTGCTTCGTAGACTTCGTTTTGCTTTATTCGTAAGAGTTTGATCTGCACGATGCAACCGATGAAGATCTTGAAGCTTATTGTCATCTTTAAAGATGTATGGATATTATCTCGGTATGAAAGAGAAGTATGTATCACAATGAAACACACACACACACACACACGCGCGCGCGCACACATTCTTTTCGAATTATATAAAATAAGGCGAATATTTTGTCAACATTCAAATATTACGTCACTAATTAAACTTCATTAAGCTACTTATCAGATATAACTTTTGCCAAAGCAGTCTAAATAAGAAATAAAACAATGCTTACAAGATTTCTATCAATATTGGATGACACTTAATTAATTTGAAGGAAGTAACAAATAGGAACATATGACAAAATGCGTTGTTATATCGTTCAATTATGTTCTCTATATGTATATGTTTTAAATCCACGAAATTGCATATTATGATTTTATATAACATAAACATGCCGCGCTTATAAGCATTTCTTTACTATTCAAACTAGACCACTTTTAAAATTTGGAAGTAAGTAACTTTTCAAGCCACATTACGACACAAGTTTAGCATGAAAACCTGTTTAATTAAACAGATTTTTGATACGTCATGCTTTCAAAAATCATAAGATCACTTTTTAATAAGATAGTACTGAATACATTGAATCAAATGGTGAATTACACTCCGGAAAAAGAAGAGGAATTGCACATGCGATCTAAGAAGAAAATACAGGATTTTTCTATCAAAATAAAATAGTATAAAGCAGCGAAATTTCTCTTTTATTAAGCTATTTCTATACCATTTTCCTTTATTACTGAACTATTTCTATAATGTGTATCAATCGATCTTATTAATAACGTAATAAAACTTACATAAAGGAATAGAATCGAGGATGTATTAATAATCAAATATTAAAAAATAATAATCTTGTTTATATACATATGTATATTTTTATTATTGCCACAATAATTTTTAAATCTATTTAAATTAGTAAATCATTTTGACGAAAGTACAAGGATATAAATTTAAATCATAATTTATATTATCTTATAAACATAATTTATATCGCCGTATAAAAATCGAAAGACTCACATTAATGAATTCATTATGAAATATTATTTATGAGAATCCATTATTATTAATATACATCTTTTCACTGCATTATCTACATATTGTAATAAATGTGAATAATTGATAATTATATAAGAAATATATTATATAAGGCAAGACATGTGTCATATCCCAGTGAAAAGACAAGGAAATCGATGTCAATTGTTATTTTCAGAATGGGCAAGTAACGCGCTGTTTGTAACGTCGTTACTATTGCAAGTTACTTTTTTCGATAACGAACGGATAATGACATTTTTTTCTGAGTAAATTCATGATAAAGCAATTATATTTTTGAGGTAACGGTAACAATTTTACTAATTATTTTTATTTGCTTTATTTCTAACTACGTAAAAGTTTAGTCGTAACTATAGCCCTAGAAAACAGAGATGAAACATTAATGGTCTGATTGGCTGTCACGCAATCACTACACCTTTTTTTCATTGCATTCACATTTCACACAATATAGACTAAATATCAGATATAATCTTTACAATATATTTCATTTTTTAAAATAAAATTTTTTCTGTATCATATCTCACAAATTAAATA